ATGTCTGTCACAAAGAACCGTAGTTAATGATTCAGGATCTATCTCACCATTCACTCTCATGTATCTCTGGTAAAAGACTTTTAAAAATAATTAACCACCAATGACTCTTTTGGAACAGGGAGGGCTTAATAAATATTCTTTGCCTATTAAAAAGAGGGGGCACCCGGAGTTGAACCAGGGACCTCTTGATCTGCAGTCAAATGCTCTACCGCTGAGCTATACCCCCAGTCATGAATTCATCTTGCCAGGAAGCCTAGTTATGGATACTGGTTTTGCCACATCGTTCCTTGCCATACCTCAAAGCAAAAGTGCTTTCACAGGTTTCAAGTAACCCTTCATATGAACATTTCCTGAGGATATCTGCTCTGGCAAAGTGTTCTGGGGGTAAGTTTCAGATTATGCAGTTAAACATTTGGCAGAAATACTAGGCCTCACTTTTATCACACACACCAAGGGCATACCCAAAACTACTTTCAGCTTGCACATTGCAAAGGGCTACTAGTACTGGTAACCAAGAAGCTTCTCGGCCAATAACAGTCTCCCCAACTTCAGATGGTCCACCAGCTGCTGCCCTTCCTTCAGAGGCATGATCTAGCCATGGTTCTCCATGCTAGACTACAATGCTCTCCACAGAGGGCTGTCCTTGAAGACTGACCGCTTCAGCTAGTGCAAAACGTAGCAACAAGACTGCCTCCTGGTGCTGGTTATTGAGAATGCATCTTATCAATCTGAGAGGGTTTTCAACAGCTACCGTTTTATCTTCTGGGTACATCAAGGCAATTATAATTACCCATGAAGCCCCAAAACAGTCTGGGACTTTGCCCCAAGGCTGCAGAATAATGGTAATATTTTCAGAATTCACCCTGACTTCGGAAGGGCTTGAAGAACAGTGAGACGTTTTCTTTCTTTCTGAGCCTGACAGGGACGAACTTCCAAACTCTTCCACTCACAGTGTAGCAATTACAGAGGGCCACGGAGGTTCTAGGATTCCCTCAGTGAGATTTTACACATGAAGATTCTGTCCTCCATAATTGAAGGAACACAAATTACGATTGGCAGGCAGCCAAAACCGATGAACTCCTGAGCTAAGGGTTCAGAGAAAACATGCTTATTTGGAACAACAGGTACCTCAACAATGTTGTTCTTTGTTTTGGAATCAAATCCTTCACAACCAAGCTAAATACCTGTCACAAAGAACACTAGTTAATGATACAGGATCTGCCTCACCATTCACTCTCATATATCTCTGGTAAAAGATTTTTTAAAAAAATTACTCACCAATGACTCTTTTAGAACAGGTAGGGCTTAATAAATATGCTTTGACTGTTAAAAAGAGGGGGCACCCGGAGTTGAACCAGGGACCTCTTGATCTGCAGTCAAATGCTCTACCGCTGAGCTATACCCCCAGCACACACACTGATCTCACCATAAAGTCTAATTATGCACACTGGTTTGGCCACATAGTTCCTTGCCATACCTTTAAGCATAAGTGCTTTCTTACTTTCTGTATGGTCACCCCTTGAGGATATCTGTGCTTTGCAAAGTGTCTTGCGGGTTCATTCCAGATTATGCAGCTAAACAAGCAGAGATACTAGGCCTCACTTTTAACACATGCTGAGAGCATACCCAAAATTCCCTTAGGCTTGTACACTGCAAGGGAAGAGTAGTACTGGCAAGTATGATGATTTTCTGGGAAGCTTCTCAGCTCATAAGTGACCCAACTTCAGACAGCCCACCAGATGCAGCCCATGTTCAGAAGCAAGGCTAGCTTGCTGGTGAGGGTTATTAGGGACACAATTTGTCAGCCTGAGAGGCTTTCAACAGCTACCGCTTTACCTTCGGGGCCCAAATCGAGGCAACCATGACTAGCTATGAAGCCCTAAAATGGCCTGAGACCTTGCCCCAGGCCTGCAGAAGAATGGTAGTTCTTTTGGAGTCTGAGAGGCTTTCAACAGCTACTGCTTTGCCTTTGGGGCCCAAATTGAGGCAACCATGATTAGCTATGAAGCCCTAAAATGGTCTGAGACCTTGCCCCAAGCCTGCAGAAGAATGGTAGTTCTTTTGGATTTCATACTGACTTCAGAAAGCCTTGGAAAACAGGGAGATGCCTTCTTTTCTTCCTGAGTTTGATAAGGATGAACCTCCACACTTCCACTCATGCTGGGGCAGTTTCACAGGGCCCCGAAGGTTTTAGGAGTCCCTCAGTGTGATTTCACAAATCTGTACAGAAACTTCCATGCAGGACAAGTGCATCACAATGGGGAAAAAAGACAGACAGTGGCTGAGTCCACAGCTTGGCTGGACTCTAAAGAAGAAGAAAAGAGATTGGATTTATACCTTGCTCTTCAATACCCAAAGGAGTCTCAGAGTGGCTTACAATCTCCTTTCCTTTCCCCTTCCCACAACAGACACCCTGTGAGGAAGGTGGGGCTGAGAGAGTTCTGAGAGAACTTGTGACTGGCCCAAGGTCACTCCAGCAGCTGCATGCGGAGGAGTGGGGAATCAAACCCGGTTCTCCCAGATTGGAGTCCACGCTCCTAATCACTACACCAAACTGGTTAATCATTAAAAAATGGTTAATTGTCATTCTGAACACACACACACACAAGCACACATTCACTCACATGTCAGTTTTTTGCTTGGCATGTTCAATGTCGCGTTTGATTTCTGGAGTGAAGTAGAAGTAGAGTTTTTTGGGCAATGGTAGAGGGATCAACGGAGCACGAACCGGGTCAGGATCTTTGCTGGAATTGGAAGGAAGGGGGAGAAACAGACACATTAAATTCACATAAAGGGGAGGCAGAAGAGTTAATAGTAGGAAAGGTCTATGCGGCTTTCTCTGCATATATCTGGCACCCCCTTTCATCCTCTCAAAGCAGAAAGCATGACCCTCAGCCTGCCCCTTTTCTCCTCACCCCCTGTCATTTAAATAAAGGAAATCCTACCCCCCGGAAGCTTGGAGCAGCTTGGAGCTAGGCCAGGAAGTTGCACAGAACGGCCAGTTACGCAAGAGTTCTTGTATACACACAAGACTCAAACGTGTCTGGACAAGACTTTTGGATTTCTTCTGAACAGCCTGTCCTGGGTTGTAGGACTCACCTACAGGTGAACAGGCAGGGAAACTTTTCAGTTCTCTTTCTCCTCTACCCCACCACACACCCCTTACTAATACTGATAAAGCATGTTGCTTGTATTGCCTTGGATCCAATGGAAAACTTTCCAAGGATAGAAGGGGCAGGGCAATTTTCTCCGGTTCTCCCCTCCCGCTGCAACCCTCCTCCCCCATTCTTGCCATTCTCAACTTTCTCTATTAACTGAATCAGTTAAGCACGGAATCACAGAGTTGGAAGGCAGCCATACAGACCATCTAGTCCTAACCCCTGCTCAGTGCAGGATCAGCCTAGAGCATCCCTGACAAAGTGTTCATCCAGCATGCCAAAATGTGCACAAACACAATACTTTAAGCAATCTCAAGCACTTGTCATAAAACAGAATCCCTCTTCTTCCCCCTCCATATATCTTTCACATCAAGCTGTGTCCTGTGCATATACATGGGACCTCAGCCTCCACAGCCCCTCCCACTTTTCCTTTGTAAGGAGGGAGACGCATTACCAGTAGTCAAGGACGTGGTCTATGATTGTGGCAATCGGAGGTCCTTCAGCCACTGCCTGTTCATAAAGCACTCCGCAAGAGCCATCTTCTCCCACGATGAACTGTTGGTAAGGAAAAGGACAAATTACATGAGAAGAAAATGGGTGATTACCACTTAGCATTAATAGATTCTCTTTGACAGCATTTATCATACAACGTTTAGAGCCTAAGGCGAAACGAAACACCACTGTGTCCAAAGCATTCCACTCATATTACAACCCTGCTAGGTAGGCTAATATACCCCAAACTGTGGGTGGGGGAATGTGGCGTCAAAGAGAACAGCTTGGTTTAAAACCATCTCGTGGGTTCATAGCAGAAGGGAGATCTGAACACAGATCACAACTTATTCTCTTTTGCCAGCTACATGAGCTTCTGGTGAGACAGTAGTTTTTGAATTCATTATTAATGTAAAAATATATTCCAGTTCCATCTAAAAGGTTTTCAGTCAACAATTTAAATGTACATATTTAGAACTAGGGGCCAGCAACTGGAAGCCCCCGGCCAAATCCAGGCCCATGACTCATACTGTCTGCCCTTCCCCCATTGTCAAACTGAAGTAAAATGAGTGAAGCAGAGGATCTGATAGCATTTACCCACATACCACCTCAGAGAGCTGAGGATACCATTTACCTCTCAAAGTGGCTGTCTAGGAAAACTACTCGCATATATAAAATTAACCACTAATTTTTTTGCAGGGTGTGGGGAGAGGCAAGGCTAACTTCTTTTTCTTCCCTCAGGCCCCGCTAATTGCCACCTACACAGGAAAGTCCAGCCCCTCCCCTTCTGTCACGCAGTGTTTTTTTCAAAAAGCAGATGAACCACTTTTATTGTTTGAATTCTGTGTGGCTCTTTTACCGGCAAGTGAACACAGGAAACCAGCATTTACAAACATGTAATGACTTTTAAGACCACCGCTTATTTCTTTACTATTCATAACCATACACTTGGGCCTGAGGGCAGACCAAAAATACAGAGAATGTGCTTCTTATAGCCTTCCTGTGGCTTGTGTCATTTCTGAATTCTGGTGCGGGGAAGTCGCATGACTGAAAGTCTCCCCACATCACACATACTCTGCCCATGAACATAAAGATCTTGCCTCACTGTGTCAGATCAAAAATACATCAAAGTCCAGTATTCTAATCAACAAAGTGTCCCTTGGAAACAAAGCAAGAAGGATTTGTGTGCTTTGGTTGGTGTTAAAATCAACCACTCATTTTTTGTCACCTGGAGATCAGTTGTAATTGCAGGAGATCTTTAGGCACCACCTGGAGGTTGGCGACCCTATACACCATTAAGGTCAGAGCAGGGGTTGTTTCGTAGAAAAAGAGCTAGGGGAACTCATTAGCATAACTCATTAGCATATGCCACACCCCCTGACATCACTGGAAGTGTGTCATAAGGCCACACACCCCGCCCCCCACGGTCCTGGCTGCGGAAGCCCCGCGAAGGCCCTCCCTGGCCCCAGGCAGGCAGGGGTGGGGAGAGGCAGGGAGGAAGCAACGTACCCTCCCTCTGCTCCTGCCTCCTCCTGGCTGAATGAGGGCCGGAAGCGGGGCGGCCGGAAGCAGGGGGCGGGGCTTCGTCATGTGTCCCGCCCCCGTACCTCACCCGGGGAAACTGTGATCCCCCGCGATCCCCCCCGAAATGACCTCTGGGTCAGAGTCCACGATAGTTCCTTCAGACTAACAAAAAATACCCTTTGCTAATAGAAAACAATTGCAGCAAAGAGACAGGACCTACACACACACACCCTTTCTGTATGAGTCTAAGGTAAGCCTTCCAGAATGTGATCATCCAACTGCAGTCTGAAGTGTTGCAGCTTATTCTACCACCTCAGGAATTTAAGTCTACCTATCCTATGATCAAGGAAGGCAAAGCCATGCTACATGACTTGCTGTTCAAATCAGACCACGGAAACTCTGCCCCTCCAAGCTTCCAGGGAGGACACCCCTCCCACCCCGATTCCAACCCTGATTCTATTCTCACCTGCAGAGTCTTGTCAAACCAGCGATTTCCACTATTAGAGTAGCTGCCGCCTCCGTGCAACATCTGTGCCGCCAGACGGCTTCCTGCACGAGCATCCGACACCTTCAGGACAGGAGCGTCCAGGCAGACTGTGAACAGGCTACGCTGAATGGCACGTGCCGACTCCCGGTTCAGTTTGTCTGGGGGTGGAGAACACACAAGGTAAGTGTTCAGGAACTCAGTGGTGCAGTGGATACAATGTTTGCTTATACATTCTTGGCAGATCATTTTGATGATGCCTCAGAGGGAAAGCAGGGCTGCAGTGGCTCAGATGTTAAGATGCTGAGCTGCAAACCGGAAGGCCAGTAGCTCGGCAGTTCGAGACCCGAGCACCGTGTGACGGGGTGAGCTCCTGTCTTTGGCCCCAGGGGTCGCGAAGAGTCGGACTCGACTGTGCGACTGAACAACAACAAAAACCTGCCAACCTAGCAGTTTGTGAAAGCAAGAAATTGCAAGTAGACAAATAGGTACTGCTTTGGTGGGAAGGTAACAGCGTTCTGTGTGCCTCAGTGATTAGTCATGCCGGCCACATGACCACGGAAACGTCTTCGGACAGAGCTGGCTCTTTGGCTTGGAAACGGAGATGAGCACCGCCCCCTAGAGTCTGATTCAACTGGCTTTCGAGCAAGGGAAACGTTTACCTTTACTTAAGAGGGAAAGCAGTAGCGAGCAGCTCCCTACACTGGTCAGGTACAGTTATCATGTTTAAGCACGGACAGCTTCTTTAACCCTGGGTTAAAGATCTATGGTTTAGCTTGTCAAGCCAGGTCTAGTCCCCAGAGACTCTATGTACAAAGTCAAATAAGAAAGACCTACACACAGAGAGGGAAGGAAATCCCCTGACCTGAGCCATGGCCTTCTGTCCCAATCAAGGTTTGCTCACTGCTGATACAACACCAAACTGTGGCCAATGCAAACCATGGTTTGCAAATGCTCTTCAAACCATAGTTCTGCAATCTAGTTTGTGTGATGGTGGAGGAAAGTGCCGTTAAGTCGCAGCCAACTTCTGGCAACCCCACAGGATTTTCAAGACAGGAGATGTTCAGATGTGGTTTGCCATTGCCTGCCTCTGTGTAGCAATCATGGACTTCCTTGGCGGTCTCCCATCCAAGTTCTGATGCAGTCGGGTCAGCCTGGGCCTATTCTGTAGCCAATTCTTAACCTGGATAGCAGTGTCCAGATGCACCACTTCACCATGTTGAGGTGTTACATCTACACAGCGACCACCGGGCAGCTGCAGGAAAGGGCCTTTCTCATCATTCCATCTTCTCTCTAACTTCTCTCCCTTCCCCTTCGTTACCCATTTTTATTTAACTGAGCATCCAGCCCACCGAAGACTTATGGAGAACGCAAAAACCTGCACACCATTTTGTGATATTCCAGAGGGTTCCAATAAAAAAGGTAATATATGGTATTGGGATTGGAGGACAACACATAAAATTGTTAAGACACGGCCTTCAGCACAAGCGTAAATCTGCCTTAAACATGGATCACACCCTTAGTCCATCAAAGTCAGTGCTGTCTACTCAGAGTGGCAGAAGCTCTCCAGGGTCGTGGGCAGAAAGGTCTTTCACATCACCTGGTACTTGATCCTTTACTTGGAGTTGCCAGGGATAGAACCTGGCACCTTCTGCATGCCAGGAACAAATACTGAAAAAAACAGCCATGAGAGTCTGACCCATAAATCAAGATAGTTAACAAGACTTACAAAGAACATATTTTCTATATACTGTTGCCAATAAACACTGCATAGGTAAAGGTAAAGGTTCCCTTGCTCGAAAGCCAGTCGAATCCGACTCAGCTCACTCCTTGCGGCACCCGGGTCTCGAACTGCTGAACTACTGACCTTCCACAGCCTGCAGTTCAGCGTCTTAACCACTTGAGCCACCGCAGCTCCTGCATAACAATGAACAAATTCCATCAAATCCTAAAAAAATCCTTGTATAAGAATACATCAACATCGTCTCCAGATTTTATAACAATGTTTCAAAAAACGGATCTTCCTCAGGAAATATTCTGTAGTGTATAAAAATATAAATCCTTAGAATATAAACAATGTGATACATGAAGAAGAGAATATAAAATCCAAGTACAGTCTTACCTATAAAGTAGTACAATCACTTTGTGGTGTTCCTTTAATTACACTGCCTCTTATCACCTGTCGGCAATTTGCAAGGTCCCTTTTATTTGTGCTCTGTCGGGAATTACCAGACTGAGATGCCTGGGATCCATCAGAAACTGAGTAGCATGTCTGTGGCCTGAATACTTTTGAGATCAGCGTCCTACCACTAAACGCACTGTAAGTTATAATTATACATGGGATCATTTTAAAAATACTTTGGACTTATTCTTAACAAGTGGAATATTAGGATATTACAGATTTTTTCCTGATTCTGTGTATGGCTTTTTATGAGAAGAAGAAGAAAAGAGTTTGGATTTATACCCCACCCTTCACTACCCAAAGGTGTCTCAGAGCGGTTTACAAACTCCTTTCCCTTCCCCTCCTCACAACAGACACCCTGGGAGGTAGGTGGGGCTGAGAGAGCTCATGACAGAAACTGCTCTTTTTTCAAGAACGGCTCTAATCAGAACTACGGCTTGCCCAAGGTCATCCAGCCAGGTGCAAGTGGAGGAGTGGGGAATCAAACCCGGTTCTCCCAGATTAAAGTCCGCACACTTAAACCACTACACCAAACTGGCTCTTGTACAACTTCTTGTGGGTCGGTCTCTCACGGCTGTTTTTTCATTATTTGTTTCCAGACAAGGTTGTGATTGTCTACATTAACCTTACGCATGCCAAACAGATGCTCTGCCGCTGAGCTATTGCCACTGCATATTTGACACAACAGTTAATCCAGCTCCTTCCTCCTCAAAATATACCTCTCATGAGAGTGGTGTAGGCTTGTCCCCATGTGTGTCGGTGGTCACTGGTCAGCACCCCTAGGGGCTCCTTATCTGTCTTCCACGACTGCCCACGGATTCGAAGGAGCTGCGAGTGAAGCTGGTCGACCGTGAGAGGCGTTCCATCGCTGTTATAAACTTCAAGCTGGAAAAACTGATGAAGGAGTGTAGAGATGAGGTACATCAGTTCACGACAGAGCGTTGCTCTCTTCTGGGTACAATTTAAGCTGCTGATGTTAGTCCGCAATACCCCAGAAGGGTTAGGTATACAATTCTTTGGAGACCATTTCCTCCCATGCTTCTCATTACAAAATGAACATATCAAGTCAGAAGACTACTGGTCAATTTATTCACTTCTATCCTGCTTTTTTCCCTGAAGAAATTCAAGGCAGTTTACAAACTATCCTACTTACCTGAAAGGAAGACTAGGCCTTGCCCCCAGGGAAAACAGAAGGTTGTCTTAAATTTGCATGCAAATTACTGGCATTTTATGATTAATTTATTTTATTAAAACATATATAGGCCACCTTTACTCGTGGTTCAAGTACAGTAATAAAATTTTTGTAAGTAGGTTTTGAGGGAGGGGACCATCTTACATTCAGGGGTTGTCTTCCTTTCATGTAAATGCAGGCGAACAATAAAGATCCGGATAAAACCAAAACAAAGTATTTAAAACCCACATAGCCATAATTACCTACTAAAAACTATGGAGGAGGAGGAGGAGGAGATTGGATTTATACCCCGCCCTTCACTACCGATAGGTGTCTCAGAGCGGCTTACAATCTCCTTTCCCTTCCCCTCTCCACAACAGGCACCTTGTGGGATAGGTGGGGCTGAGGGAGTTCTGAGAGAACAGTGACTGACCCAAAGTCACCCAGCAGACTTCATGTGGAGGAGTGGGGAATCAAACCTGGTTTTCCCAGATTAGAGTCGGCACTCCTAACCACTACACCAAACTGGCTCTTTGCCTGTATGCCTGGACATGTCATAAGTCTACCTGTCTGAACAGCTTGGCTTTGCAAAGTTTTCTAAATGATATCAATATAGAAGCTCTCCTGGCACCAGCCAGGAAGTGGCTTCACAATCTTGGTGCCACAAGCTAAAACACTCTAGAACAAGGGTCCCCAACCCTTTTCAGCTGGTGGGCACCTTTGGAATTCTGACACCGAGTAGTGGAGCACTGGCTCAAAAGGTCTGCCACAGGAGGCGCAGCCAGTCACAAAATGGCCGCCACAGCTTACCTTCAGTCACACAGTGAAGATCCTTGTGCTGTGGTGCCAGTTGCTGCCAAAGCAACATTTTTTAGAAATCAATCACATCTCCATCAGCCAACCAGAAGCCTTGCTGGGCAAATGCCCCGCTTTGCCCCACTCACTTTCTAAAAACACTTTGCGGGGGCCAGGAAAGCTCTCAGTGGGCACCATGGCGCCCCCAGCTACCACACTGGGGACCCCTGCTCTAGAACAAGCAGTGGTTAATCTGACCTGCCAAGGAAATCCTGCTCAGATGAATGAAACCAGGGCTTTTTTTGGGCAGGAACGCACAGGAATGGAGTTCCGGCTGGCTCCCAAGTTGGCCACGCCCAGCAGGAACTTATTAGCATAATAGGCCACACCCAAAAGCAGGAACTCATTAGGATTGGCTACATTAGGGGTTTGTGGCCTAACTTGCAAAGGGATTCCTGCTACAAAAAAAGCCCTGGGTTTTGACAACAAGCAAGGTAAACAGAATAAGAAGCAAAAGGTGGGTGTGGCTGGATGACCACACTTCTGGTAACATGGGGGTGTGGCCTAATATGTTAATTTGCTGTGGTGTCAGGGGTGTGGCCTAATAGGCTAATGAGTTCCTGCTGTTGCTGTTCAGTGTGGCCTATTATGCTAATGAGTTCCTGCTGCGCTTTTTCTACAAAAAGACCCCTGAATGAAACTACTGCAAGGGGGCAGACCAGGAGACAGTCCTACATGTATGTTGGTCCTAGATAGGGTTGTCAGCCAGAGGCTGGAAAATAGTGAGAGTCGGAGGGGGCCATGGGGGAGTCCCATCAGCACAATGGTGTTGCATCAGTTCTGATGTCACTCCACTTTAGGAAACTAGAGTTTCCAGTGATTCCTAGAGTGGTCTGACATAACTTCTGGGTTTTCCACAGAAGTCGTGTAATGACATTGCACCAACAGCTTTTTTTAAAAAAATGGGGGGGGGGGTGTCTCTGCCAGCCACAGGTGTGGCAGTGGGCAACAGGAGCTGGGGGGAAATGGTAAGCCTAGTCCCAGAGCATGAAGTACTTCAAAATAACAAATATCTTGACTTTAACTCAGGAATTAATTTAACCCAGGAACTGTCTATTCTGACTCCCCAGGGATTCCGGCAGGTTTCTCCCCCTCCACCCCCACCCCGCTATCCATGAACCTTTTAACTGGAGATACCAGATTACCATGCAGAGAAACAACGTTCAGGGCCCTGATGTAACTCCCAGAATTCTTGGATGCCATCTCTCCCCATATGTATAGTCTGTTTTGACTGGGACTCTTTACTGCTACACAGATGAAAAAAGTCAGACACTTAGATTCAGCGGCACAGAAGCCCTCTCAGAAGTCCAGAGCATTGATGGTTCTCATGGGTTTGGGTGAAGGAGAATTACCTGGAAGTTGCGGACTACTGTGATATACGTGGCTGGTCTCCGGCCTGGTGGAGGCAGCAAGACAGAATCGTGTTTTGGTCCTGGAAGGCGGCATGAGGCGAAGATGCGGGAATACTGGTCCATGCATAGAGGGTAGCCCCGGGAATATTCAACCAAGAGGGTCTGGCTGACGTGAGGGGGGAAAACCAGGAAAGTGAGCCAATGCCTTTCAAGTCTCAATCTCAAGGCTACTGCCACTCCTGGTGGTGGGACTAGGGTTACCAATTATGTGTTGGGAAATTCTTGGGAGATTTGGGGAAGGTGGAATTCAGGGAGGGGACACACCTCAGCAGGGTATAATGACATGGAGTCCATCCTCCAAAGCAGCCATTTTCTCCAGGGAAGATTATCTCTCTAATATGAGGATGAATTTTAATTCTGGGACACATCCACACCCCACAGAGAGGTGGCAACCCTAGACAAGAACCCTTAACCCCACATGGTCCTAAAAGTTCCCTCATATCACCAACCTGCCAGGAAGCAACACTAGGATTGTTCATGTACTCAGTTGCCCCATACAATGTCCCAAATATGAGCTTCCTGTTTTCACAGGGACGCATTTTATAGCAAGGCCCAGTTCAGAGGCCGCTGTGACTTCACTTAAATGCCTTTCCTACTTTAAACAACCAACCTGCTCCCCCAACCCTACCTCCTACTTGTCTTTCATACTTCCACCCTGGAAAGGCAGCTATCACAGCATTTTCTCCCAAACTTTCTTAAACAAGGTTGTTGTTAGTATTGTGTTCATGGAATATTAAAGGCTTGAGGGATTCCTACCATACTAACTCTGCACCCCCTCCACTTCAAACTTACCCCTCACCACTGAATCCCTCCCCAAGAGCTTCTTTCTTACCTGCATAATGGGTGAATGCAGATGAACATTTATCAGGAGGCAACTACCCGTGGCCTTTGGCAGAGGAAGCTGCCTTATACCAAGCTAAACATTGGCCCACCTAGATTAGTAATGTCCACCCTATTGGTAGCAGGTAGGAGATGGCATGGACCAAACCTGGAGTGTTCTCGATGCAAACCATGTGCTTTGGCACCAGATCACACCATACAATTACTGGGTAAGCTGGTCATCTATGTTGCCGTTTGTTGCCAAACAATGAGAAGAACCTTTAGTGCTCCTCAGCTTTCTGATGAGGTACAAAAGCACGGTAAGATTCTCCACACTGCAAGGCAAGACCAAGAGGCCTAAGGCGCACCTAGGTGATTCATCATCTATATTGATTCAACAATGTCCCCTTAAACAGCAGATCCTCTTTGACCCCCTCCCAAGTTGTCCTATAGACACAGGGCAACATTGATATCCCCCTGTCATGACAAACAGGCCAAGTCTTGTGTACATAACTTTGAATTTAACCAACTTGCTGGATACATCATCAAGGATACTCACTGGTCAATCTTGGCCTTGAAATCCAACACACCAGCAATGAGTTTTGCTGTAAACCTACATGGGTGGAAAAGGGGGGGGGTGAAATCCTGTTAAATCCAGAGAAAGTCCTCCAAGCACCAGTCTCCATTATACTACTCTAACCCAGCTCTGGGGTACACACTTTGTATCATTTTAATAGTTTTTTTTTAATTTTAAAAAATTACCTTTATTTTTATAATATACAATTCACATATTTAACTCAATTTGACTAATAACAAAGGTCCACAAGAGATCAAATGAAAATGAAAGTTTCATAATAACGTAAACTTCTTTGACTTTCTCTAACTATTCTTGCATAAGAACATAAGAACATAAGAGACGCCAATGTTGTATCAGGCCAAAGGCCCATCCAGCCCAACACTCTATATCACACAGTGGCCAGAAATACCAGTGCATATCTGGCATCATATTCTGTTTCCAGTACCGGGGAATTACAAGTCTGGAAGCAGTAGTAAAGCTTAAAAGAATTTCTTGGTATTTTACAAGAAGCCTAGATACATAGTTTAATAAAAAGATTTCTGGATTGAAGGGCGCATTAATCCCTAAACCTTTCCTCAACTTTTCACTTATGTTATCCCAGTAATTAATAGCACATGGGCAATGTCACCACAACAGTGCCATCATCCACCAGAGACATTACACATCTTTGCAAGCTTCTTTGGAGTGAGACAGATTTGACATACCTACATCTTAAGCAAGTTTTCTTTAAAGTTTCAATACTAAATGACATCCCCTGAGACAAAACAAACGTCGAAATTTCACCAAGAAGCTCACATCCAAGATCACAATTCCACTTAAATTGAGAGCAGAGATGCTATAACCAGTATATAATTTTAAATAAATCAAAAAACACACAAATTCTAGGGAAATTTGCCCTTAATCATAAGCACTTCAAAATCTCAAAGATCTGTTGAAGTCACACCTCTAGAAAATCTCTTAGATAGATAACTTTGTACCTGAATGTTCTCAAAGAAGGTAAGCTGACCATTACTGTATTTGTAATTATTTCAACAGTAAAAAGTAAGTATCCTTTTAATAGATTTTAGAAACATCCTGTTAACCAGGAACAGGGCTGACACCAAACCTTACGGTCAATGGTACAGATGAGTAAACAAAAGCTGGCCTGACAGTTTCTGCAAAACACGAATTTGCAAAGTTGTCTCATTGTTACATTCTTGAGAAAGATAATTATGAAATCACTGGAAGTACCTTCAGAATTAAACTTCACAATATGAAGAATGGACAGATCATCGATTTGCAACATGTATTTCTATGGGAAAGAAAACTCTAAGCTCAGAAACGCGCTTACATCGTATATTTTCAGATGAGATAAATGGTTTTGATACAATTGTGTGAGTCTCATGTAACTGGGTCTATATAAGACAGCTGTACCCCAAACACCCCATAATCTCTCAGATGTGGGCAGGGTGAGACGATCTAATCTTTCTGAAAGCGCTCAGGTGAAAATCTCAGTAATTGTATTTTATATTTTAATCTTAAAATAACTAGGAAAAGGCAGGACACGTGGCACGTGTCTATCTGATTTCACTTACACCTGCAGGGTTATTTTTGTATCACTGCGATTCCTACTTAACCATTTCAAGAGTGATTGGATTTATTTTAAATCTCTTCAAAAAATAACATGAGCTATCTTTGGCTGGGATGCACGGTTTTCACATACCAGGAACAAATGAACTTCTCTTCAGTCAGAGGGCTATTATCTGCAGAGATGATTATAGGAGAGATGAATAGTCACTCTCAATACAGCCCTGTGATTTAGCAGTTAAGGCGCTGCTTTGGAACAGACACACTTTGTTTTCATCGGTTTCGAAAGGACTTCTTCCCTCAAGGGGAACCATTACCAGGGCAGCTGCCCCAGGCTCCATTCTGGAGAGGGCCCCACCAGAGGGGAGGAAAGATTTTTACCACGATCAGGCCACTGCCGCTTGCACTTATCCTGTGTCAGCCCAGGCAACCAGCCTGCAGAGATAGCCACTTGCGACCACCCTGTTGGGGGCTCGGGCAACCATGTCAGCAGTGGCAGTTTGGGCCCGCTCTGTGTGAGGCTCGGGCATTTGACTTCTAGGGACAGGTCCCACACACCTCACACAGTGTGAGGGTTGCCCCTTGCTTGGCCCCAGCATGGATGGCCCTGATTCTGGAGCCCCATCTTGGACTTTTATCCTGGCCCCCAGAGTCATTAACCTGAGACCACACCTGCTCTGCAAATTTATGACGTAGCCACTTTCACACTAGAAAAAAAGTTTCTAAGAAGAGTAGTGACATGCCTCAAAGAAGAAGAAGAGATTGGATTTATACCCCACCCTTCACTACCTGAAGGAGTCTCAGAGCGGCTTACAATCCCTTTCCCTTCCCCTCCCCACAACAGACACCCAGTGAGGTAGGTGGGGCTGAGAGGGCTCTCTTGAGAACTGCCCTTGAGAGAACAGCTCTGAAAGAACTTATGACTGACTCAAGGTCATACCAGCAGCTGCATGTGGAGGAGTGGGGAACCAAACCTGGTTCTCCCAGATCAGAGTCCACACTCTTAACCACTACACCAAACTGGCTCTTTCTTTTTGCTATGAATCAATGTTCAGAGTGCAAAGGGGGACAGATAGGGTTGCCAAACCCACTGGTTTGGCAGGGGTCCCCCACTTTTGGGGGGCTTTTACCCCCCAAGGCCCAACACCTGCCGCCACCACTCTCCCTTCTCTCTTGAGAGAGGAGGAGAGGGTGGCTGCGGGCCAGCTAATCAGGCGCAGAAACGCTGGCTCCCTGCAGTTAAAGGGGCCCCTTTAACTGCAGGGAGCCGGCGTTTCTTCGTGGAGGTCAGACGCGCTGGGGAATGCTGGCTCCCTGCAGTTAAAGGGGCCCCTGTCGGGTAGGTGGGCGGGGGGGGGACATCCCCAATGTGACATCATCACATCAGAGATACCATGCCCCCTCCAGGAACGCCCCCCCAAAGTCCCCCGCTGGGGGGGGGGAGATAGGACTTGGCAACCCTAGGGACAGAGAATTATCCAGAGGGGCAGCAGGCCACCTCCTTAGTAGACTCATAAAAACTTTTTTAGTACGAATACTTAAATATTTCCGTTTTTTGACAGCACACTAATATTAATCTTGCTTTGCACTGCTTGTAAATATCAACTGTAACTGCTCACTGTAGTTAAAAGGAGACTTATTGTTTCAGCAGGTGGCATTCCCTCCTTCCTGCCCTACATTTTAATTGTTTTTTGTTCTTGAATGTGTATTTTAGCTTTGAGATTAACTCTTTTAATGACACGATTTTGTTTGGTTTTAATGGTTTTAAGACTTTTTTTTAAAAATCTGTTAGTCCCCTTGGAGGCCCTGATAAAGGCAGACAGGCAAGGTATAAATTTTATATATACTCAATGGCCAACCCAGTACTCTCAACTCTCCTCTCTTCCATGTGTTCCAAGCTTCCTGTGTGGGGAAAGTAATACTGAAAGCATCTAGTTGTGGCTTAAAGGTCTTTCTCAAGCCCTGCACGAGTGGCCAAAAACCCCACCCGGAAAACTATTTCACCCTAACCTGGTTAGCCCAGGCAAGTCCAATGTCATCAGATCTTAGCAGCTAAGCAGGGTCGGCCCTAATTAGTGCTTGGATGGAAGGCCACCAAAGAAGTCCAGGGTTACCACGCAGAGGCAGGCAATGGCAAACCACTTCTGTTGGTCTCTTGCCTTGAAAACCTTATGGGGTCGCCATAAATTGGCTGCAAATTTTAATGAGGGGGGGGGACTATTTTAACCATGAAAAGCTAAATAACTGATCCTGTGCATACTCTGTTTCTCATCATCGGCCCACTTCCAAAAAATGGGCTGTGATCCAGTTTACACTCAACCTTAGGGTTGCCAAGTGTATCTTCACTGGGAGCGGGGGGCTCCCAGCTGGCGTCTTGTGTGTGCGTGCATGCACGCGCGCCGCACGCACATCACTCGAAAGTGACGGGAGAATGCCAGGCAAGCTGGGGGGCTTTCCCTTGTATGGCCGTGGCCCCGCCCCCAGGGTGACCGGCGTGCCCATGTCACTTCCTGGTGATGCGCACGCGCGCGGGGGGTGTGTGTTCCCCCAGGGCCCAATTCCGCCGCGGCGAAAATCGGGCCTCCAAAGCGGGAGGTTACCTGCCCCCCACCCCCACTTGGCAGCCCTACTCGACCTGGTACTAGGCTGAGTAGATTCTTCACAGAGACTTGTTTGACATAAATTGCTTTGTCATGTCCAAGCAGGCCTATTTTATTACACTGTACTTGAAGCTGCCTTTGAAGACCATTCAGAAGCTTCCACTTGGTCCAGGATGTCCAGTCAATACTTGCTGTACTGTACACAAAGTTCTACATCACCCTTCATGCTGAAGTAATTGCACTGGCCTCCCAGTCTCTTCCTGGGCACAACTAAAAACGCTGGTTTTGATGTATACAAATTCATAATGTTCTGGTCTGGAGCACGTATATGAAGTGAGGTTATACCTCACAGAGTGTCTGTTGTGGGGAGAGGAAGAGAAGGAGATTGTAAGCTGCTCTGAGACTCCGAGTGAAGGGAGGGGTATAAATCCAATCTCTTCTTCTTCTTAAATCATCAGGCCACGTATCCTCCTTAGCTCAGCACTGCCTACTCTGACTGGCAGCAGCTCTCTGGGATCTCTGATGGAATCCAATTTTCCCTCCAATTCCTGCTTTCACAGATCTTATAACTTAAGATGCCAAGGATTAAAGCCTAGAGCCACAGATTACTACAACCTACACCCCTGGGATGCCCACATCATTCAAGGCCTTCCTCTTTGTCTTACTAGTGATTAGCTTAAGCAGGACTTTTTATACGAACATAAGAAGAGCCCTGCTGGATCAGACTAAAGGTCCATCTAGTCCAGCATCCTGTCTCACACAGTGGCCGAGTATAAAGCCAACAGTTGTGATAGCCTGACCCACAATCAAACAGTCATAAGACATAAAGAATGCTGTTTATGAAGAAGATCCATTTTTTGAAACGTTGTTATGTAATCTGGAGACGACGTTGATTATGTACCTTGGTTCAAGGATTTTCTATTGAGTTGTGTATCATGTTGTAGTGCTTTAGATTGCAATACATAAACAGCATTCTTTATAAGTCTTATGACTGTTTGATTGTGGGTCAGACTATCACGACTGTTGGCTTTATACTTGTTTAACTGATTGGGTCGTGTGTGTCCAGATTTTTTTGTCACACAGTGGCCAACCAGTTCCTCTAGAGGGCCAACAACAGTGCACAGAGGCCGAGGCCTTCCCCTGATGTTGCCTCCTGGCTCTAGGATTCAGAGGTTTAGTGACTCTGAATGTGGAAGTTCCCCTCAGTCACCATGGCTAGTAGCCAGTGATAGACGTATCCTCCATGAATCAATCTATCTATCCTGTGACCATCACTATATCCTCTGGCAGCAAATTCCACCTTTTAATCACTCTATGTGTACAGTAGTACCCTATGTGTACAGTAGTACCCTTGAGATAACAGCTCTGAAAGAACTTATGACTGACTCAAGGTCATACCAGCAGCTGCATGTGGAGGAGTGGGGAACCAAACCTGGTTCTCCCAGATCAGAGTCCACACTCTTAACCACTACACCAAACTGGCTCTTTGTTTTTGCATGAATCAATGTTCAGAGTGCAAAGGGGGACAGATAGGGTTGCCAAGGGGTCCCCCACTTTTGGTACAGTAGTATTTCCTTTGGTCTGTCCTGAACCTACTGCCCAACAGCATCATTGGATGCCATCGAGTTCTAGTATTTTGGGAGAGGGAGAAAAAGTTCTCTTTGTCAACTCTCTTCACCCCATACATCATTTTATGAACCTCCATCATGTTCCCCCTTTCGTCGTCTCTTTTCTAAACTGAAAAATCCCAGACTCTTCAGCCTTTCCTCATACAGAAGGTGCTCCAACCCCCTAATTATCTCGGTTGCCCTCCTCCATACTTTTTCCAGCTCTGCAACGTCCTTTTTTAGATAGGGTGACCAGACCTGTGCACAGTATTCCAAATGAGGCCACACCGTAGATCTATACAGGGGCATTACAATATCAGCCATTTTATTCCCAATCTCTTTCCTAAAAAATCCTAAAACAGAAGAGGAGGAGGAGAGACTGGATTTATCCCCGCCCTTCACTTGGAGTCTCAGAGGGGGCGTTCAGACGGGGCGTTTCAGCCGGCATAAACTGTACCGGTTGGGACCGGTGCAGTTTATGCCAGCTGAAACGCGATCATACTCACCTCCTGTCTGCAGAGCCCATCGCTGTATGCCCGTCCACACACAGTGGGCATTGGCGTTTTTTGTTTTTTTAAAAAACTCCGTTTGAGCATGCGCATAGGCAGCCATCCACAGAATGGCGATCTTCGCGCATGCGCAAAAAACCCTGTCTTACATTTAAACTTTAAAGGTAAGGACTTACCTTTAATGTTTAAAGAGCAAAGTAGCCTCCCTGAGGTCCTGGACGCCTCCGAAACGCTAAACTAAGGCCCTTTTCTTTTCTTTTTTAAACAGACGCCAGGGCGAAGTTTCGTCCAAGCGCATATCGCCGACCTTAAAAAAAAAAAATGGCCGGCGAAAATCGGAAGCCTCAGGCTTCCGAACGGAAGTGGCTCTGCAACGGTGGAGAGCGATCAGACGGGGGAGGGGGGGGAAAGTGATTACAACTGTTGCACTCAGGATACCACCACTTGGGGACCTAGTGGCAGAATACAATGGTGTAAAGCTCTTTACAACGGTTAGGGACAGAAGGCAGATGTTCACTGTGTGAACGCCGGTAAGTACACAGATTCCAACCGGCATCTATACCGTTGTAAATGCCCAGTCTGAACGCACCCAGAGTGGCTTACAATCTCCTGCCCTTCCTCTCCCCACAACAGACATTCTGTGATGTAGGTGGAGCTGAGAGAGCTCTCAGAGGACTGCTCACGAGAACAGCTCTGTGAGAACTGTGGCTGACCCAAGGTCACCCAGCTGGCTGCATGTAGGGGAGTGGGGAATCAAACCCGGTCCTCCCAGATTAGAGTCCACACACTTAACCACTACACCGAACTGGCAAACAGTGGTGGGCTGACACTTTCATTGAACTATCCACCAAGACCCCAAGATCTTTTCTCCTTTCAGTTTCAGCAAGCTCAGACCCTGTTAGCCTATACTTGAAGTTGGGATTTTTGTCCTAATGTGCCCTTACACTTACCAATATTGAACATTTTCACTGGTTGCCCCTTCATTACTCATATTCCACTGAAAGGATGCTCAATTAGACCCTTTCCTTCTGCTACTTGAAGATAAGACAAAACCTGCTCCTTTCTGGATGGGCTGCCATTCTCCACAAAATGGCAGCATATACAATGAACAGCAATTGCTTAAAATGTGTTATATTATTCATGTTAATTTAACAGCTCTTGGTGGTGGAAAGTGCCACCAAGTAGCAGCCGACTTACAGCAAGCTCGTAGAGGTTTCAAGAGCAACAGATGCACTGAGGTGGTTTGCCATTGCTTGCCTCTCTGTAGAAACCCTGAACCTTCCTTGGTAGTCTCCCATCCAAATGTTAACCCTCTTGGTGGTGGAAAGTGCCACCAAGTAGCAGCCGACTTACAGCAAGCTCGTAGAGGTTTCAAGAGCAACAGATGCACTGAGGTGGTTTGCCATTGCTTGCCTCTCTGTAGAAACCCTGAACCTTCCTTGGTAGTCTCCCATCCAAATGTTAACCAGAGCTGACCCTGCTTAACTTCCAATATCTGACAAGAGCAGGCTTGACTAGGCCATCCAGTCCTTACCAGGGCCCTCAACAGTATCATCTAAAAACTTACTAACAAATAATTACACATCAGGTTTTATGGAGTACTTCTAGGTTTCACCCTCAAGTAGTTGGTTTTTCAGCCCTCTGTATCATCAAATAAACAAATTTCATCTTAAAAAAAAAAAAACTGAGGCAAGGGGGCACCCGGAGTTGAACCAGGGACCTCTTGATCTGCAGTCAAATGCTCTACCGCTGAGCTATACCCCCAGCACACACACTGATCTCACCATAAAGTCTAATTATGCACACTGGTTTGGCCACATAGTTCCTTGACACACCTTGAAGCATCATTACCTTCTTACTTTGACAGTAACCTTTTCCATATGAACATCTCCTGAGGAATAACCCACTGGATATCTATGCTTTACAAAGAGTTCTGGGATATATTCCAGGCTGGGCAGTTAAACACTCGGCAAAGATACTGGTCCTCATTTTTATCCCCATACATACCAAGAGCATACCCAAAACTACTTTCAGCTTGCACATTGCAAGGGAAGATTAGTACTGGCAACAGTGTTCCCTCTAAGCTGAATTAGTGTGAGCTAGCTCACAGTTTTTTAGCTTCCGGCTCACATATTTTTGTCTTAGCTCAGGAAGGATGACTCCAGAGCAAACTAATTTAAGCAGTAGCCAAACTGCTCACTCACACCTTTAATGCCAGTAGTTGTTGCTCACAAGACTCCACAGCTTAGAGGACGCATTGTGGCAAGCAACAGGAGTTTTGGTAAATAACAGTCTTCCCAACTTCACATGGTCCACTGGCTGCTGCCCTTTCTTAGGAGGCATGATCTGGCCATGGTTCTCCATGCTGGACTACTACAGTGTCCTCCACATAGAGCTGTCCTTGAAGACTGACATTTTCAGCTAGTGCAACATGTAGCAGCAAGACTGCTTGCTGGTGCAGGTTACTGGGAACACACCTTGATCGTCTGAGAGGTCTTTCAAGGGCTATCATTTTATTTTCAGAGTACAAGGCAACTATACCTGTGAAGCCCTAAAATAGTCTGGGGCCTTGCTCCAAGCCTGCACAAGAACAGTGGCTCTCCAGGCTTTCAATATGATTTCAGAAAGCCTTGGAAAAGAGGGAGATGTCTTCTTTCTTAAGCCTGAGAGGGAACAACCTTCATGCTTCCACTCATACTGGAGCCGCTGCAGAGGGACTTGGAGGTTCTAGGAGTGTCTCAGTGGGATTTCACAAATCAAGATCTTACCTTTCTTATGACTGGCAGCCCAAACTAATGAACTCCTGAGCTCAGGATTTGGAGAAAACATGCTCATTTACACTAACAAGTACTTTTAACAATGCTGTTTTTTAATTTTACCCCCAAATTACAGTTATTTGTCACAAAGAACACTACTTTGTGATACAGGATTTGTCTCGCCATTCACTCTCACGTATCTCTGCTAAAAGATTTTTAATTTTTTTAACCTATCATGAATATTTTAGAGCAGAGAGGTCTTACTAAATCCATCATCTCTTTTTAAAAAGAGGGGGCACCCGGAGTTGAACCAGGGACCTCTTGATCTGCAGTCAAATGCTCTACCGCTGAGCTATACCCCCAGCACACACATTAAACTCATCATGAAGTCTAGTTATGCGCACTGGTTTGGCCACATAGTTCCTTGCCATGCCTTGAAGCATCACTGCCTTCCTACTTTTACAATAATGCTTTCCATATGAATATCTCCTGAGGAATAAACCACTGGATATCTATGCTTTAGAAAGAGTTCGGGGATATATTCCAGACTGGGCAGTTAAACACTCAGCAAAGATTCTGGGCCTCATTTTTATCCCCATGCATACCAAGAGCATACCCAAAACTTGCTTGCACACACTAAGGGAATGTTAGTACCAGTAAGCAAGAAGATTCTCCACCAGTAACAGTCTTCTCAACTTCACATGGTCCACCGTTCGCTACCCTTCCTTCAGAGACATGATCCAGCCATAGTTCTCCATGCTAGACTACTACAGTGTCCTCCACATAGGGCTAGTCCTTGAAGACTGACAGCTTCAGCTAACTCATAACATAGCAGCAAGTCTGCTTACTGGTGCAGGTTGTTGAGAATGCACCTTGGCAATCTGAAAGGGTTTTCAATGGCTGCTGTTTTATCTTCCATGCACAAATTGAAGCAAGAACCCCTTGGTTTGCAATCAAATGTTCTACCAACCAAGCTATACCCCCCCTCCAAATTATATATGTCTGTCACAAAGAACCGTAGTTAATGATTCAGGATCTATCTCACCATTCACTCTCATATTATCTTTGGTAAAAGACTTTTAAAAATAATTAACCACCAATGACTCTTTTGGAACAGGGAGGGCTTAATAAATATGCTTTGCCTATTAAAAAGAGGGGGCACCCGGACTTGAACCAGGGACCTCTTGATCTGCAGTCAAATGCTCTACCGCTGAGCTATACCCCCAACACACTTCCTTCTTACTAAGAAGTCTAGTTAAGAATACTGGTTTGTCTACATAGCCTTCTTTGATCTACAGACACTAACAGGTTTGTTAGCTATTCTAATTATTTTCCACCCACAGAAACTACAATTATGTTTCATTGTATGTCATGCTTAACTAGTTACATATTTGAATTAATTTCTCTCTAAACATCATTACTCAGCCTACAGTACTTGAGGGAAGTGTTGGATGTGTTCCAAGGCTGCTGAGTTGAGACTGACAACATGAAATCCAACATGGCCCTTTCTTTACATTCCCAGAGAAATGCTGATCACCACTTTGAAGCAATTTTTATCCCGGCCAATTTGGCTGGAGATCCTGGAGGTTTTTTGTCATCTTCTGAGCGTGGGACAGCGGCTACTGGAGGTCTGGGGGGAAAGGTATTTGTGAATTCCCTGCATTGTGCAGGGGGTTGGACTAGATGACCCTGGAGGTTCCTTCCAACTCTATGATTCTATGAAATGGAAAGTTATGCATTTAGGCAAAAAGAATCCAATGGACAGGTATACAATGGGGAATTCTCGGCTTGGCAGTAGTAGTCCACGTGAAAAGGATCTTGGGGGGTTAAAGGTAATTGTAAGCTGAACGTAAGTCGGCAAATGTGATACAGATACAAAAAACGTTAGTGCAAGAGAACCCGGGAGTCTGTGGGAAGAGGATAAAGAGCTAAAGCTGAAATTGGCAACTGGTGGCCAGTCAATCTCATGTTTCCCTGCTACTTTCAACTTTTCCTAGCATGACTGTCTTTTCCTGTCTGTTCCAGTGACTCTAGTCCTCGTAATGTGACCAAAGTATCATAGCCTCAGTTTAGTCATTTGAGCTTCTAGGGAGAGTTCAGGTTTGATTTGGTCTAGGACTCATGTATTCATCTTTTTGGTGGTCCACAGTTTTCATAACATTCCTCCGACACCACATTTCAAATGAATCAACTTTCTTCCTGTCAGCTTTCTTCACTGTCCAACTTTCACAGCCGTATATAAGTAATGGGGAATACTATGGTATGAATTATCTTGATCACCAGTGACACATCCTTACACATAAGGATCTTTTCTAGCTCCCTCATGGCTGCCCTTCCCAGTCTCCGTCACCTTCTGGTTTCTTGGTTGCAAACCTGAATAAATTATGCCAATCAAGCACATTTGCGTAATTCTTTATTTCACATTAATATATTGCTTATTACTTTTAGAATAATTTATTCCGGTTTTGTTAGACAGGGGAAAGGGCAAGGAGGATAAAAAACCCCCAAAGACCTAACCCAACTACTGGGAAATCTCATTCCACCAATTCTTTGGCTTTTCATAGCAGGCACTGTCATGAGGACAAGAAGGTTGCTTTAAAAAGAAAGCAAGAACTTCAGACTTCCAGAAAAAGGATTCTTTAATAAGTGCTGACAGATTTTTGTGCTTTTCTTATGTTACCACAGAATATTGAGAAGTAAAATGTGAACAGCCCTGCTTTCTGCAGCTCCTACTGAAATGTTTGAAAGGGATGCACTATAAAGTATATACAATGTGAATTAATTATGTCCCCCTCAGGGTGAAGCAAAGCGTCCTTTCCAAAGATATTAGTCTCCTACTTTATGCAACAGAGTATAGAACAGCCGCTACCAACAGTTACCAAAGCATGATTCAACAAGTTTCAGGTTCTAATCTCACTTCAAATATAACACTCATTACACGTCCATTAGCAATATAGGGATAATAATTGTGACCTACTTGCAAGGCTTACAAGAAGGTAAATTTATCTGAAGCACTTTGAATGCTCCAAATGCCTTTAATAAGGATAAGTGCTTAGCATTTAATTTTTAAATATGACCTTTCCTTCACCTGAGGGCCTCAAGGCAGCGTATGTGGTTCTCCTCCCTCCTCATTTTCCCCTCATAACTTTCTTCTCAGTGCAAAAGCGGAGAGGAACAGAAATGACACAGAAATCCCCACAGACCTGGCAGCTGGAGTTTGAGACTGTTTTTTGAAAAGGCAGGAAGCATCTAAGAAACCCAACCAGCCACAATCATGAATTCTGGATTATCAGAGATATGAGGCCCCCTCAACAGAAGCCTTCATTGATTATATCCTCCACAGTCACTTCCAGTCTCCTTAGGGGAAGAAAAGGAACAAATTCATTGACGGGAAGGGGCTGTGGCTCACGATACTGCATCTTGTTTTACCTTCAGAGGGTTCCATGTTCAATCTCTGGCATCCCCAGTTCAAATACCTCAAGGTGACAAGACAGCTGAAACAGGCCCTTTTCTGCTAAAATCCATGATACCGAGTTAGACAGATCGGACGCCTACACTGTAAGCCAGGGCTGTTCCTAAAATCTGTTCTAGGGAATGACACTGGCCCCGGGTACCTAAGGAAGCCGGATATGCCTTGGGGGCAAACAGGGCGGGAGTGCTTCAAAGACCAGTGCCAAAGAGAGAGGCATGACATGGCTGCATGAGCCCCAACGTAGGGCCCATAAGTGTCACGAGGCCCAGTTGCTCCATCCCCAAACCAAACAGCAAGCCCTGGCTCTTCTCTACCACTGGAGCAGACGTTGCCTCAGAAAAGGCCAGGAGAGATCAGTTCTGTGTCTGTAGAGTGTATCAGTTCAGAAACAGCTGACAGCAGAGCACAATGATTAGAGTGTCGGACCAGGATCCGGGAGACTCAGGTCTGAACCCCTGCTCTGCCACGGAAGCCTGCTAAGAAGAAGGGGGGGGGGTTCTACCACTGCAAGCTGGTATTGCAAAACCTGGGAAAGGACAACAGGGACAAGATCACGATGACACTGAAAAATACGGGAAATCCCAATTTTACCTCTCTTTTCTTAGAAAAGCGGTTCCCTTTTATTTTACAGGCAATATCTGGCCACTCACACACACACACACAGCCTAACTTACCTCACAGGGTTGTTGTAAGGAGGATAAAGTGTAAAACTGTGGAGAATGATATACACCACTTTTTGAGTCCCCACTGGGGAAAAAGGCAGGGTAAAAAAATGAAAAAAATGACCAAACAGAAATGCCTCCAGATTCTGTGGACTGGCCCCAGCCCTTACAGCAGCCATCTTGTGACTGGGCCCACTCCCTGTTCTCAAGACTCCAAATGTGCCCATAGGGCTCAACAAGATTAAGGACCCCGCACTAAAAAAGGTGATGCTCCTCAGAAAAGGGCAATCTGTGTTCTTCACACAGGGGGGAGGAGGAGATTGGATTTGGTAGAAAATGCAAGTCAAGTCACAGATGATTTATGACAACCTGTAGGGTTTTCAAGGCAAGAGACATTCAAAAGTGGTTTGCCATTGCCTGCCCTCTGCATAGCAAGCCTGGACTTCCTTTGGTGGTCTCCCATCTAAGTACTAACCAGAGCTGACCCTGCTTAGCTTCCAAGATCTGCCAAGATCAGGCTAGCCTGGGCCATCCAGGTCTGGACAACATTTAAACATACATGATTTAAAAGAGCCCTTTGCCGGTGTGTGACAAAGAAGTTGAAGGAAATGGCATTCAAAAGCTGTGCAGTAGGAGGCCCCTGAGCCACCAGCTGCTTATTTCAGCTTTACGGTCTATACATTTCATCCCCCCTCCTGCAGACTCCCGGATTCCTTACCCAATTCTCCATGCGAGCTGCCCGGCGCTGCAGCCGGGCCTGGAGTCTGTCCCCTTCTCCTCCGGGAGCCCCAAATTCGGCCACCAGCTCCTTCGACTGCTCCAGCTCCTCAGGGCTCACCAAGGGCTCCAGAGAACGCAGATATCGAGCCATGGTTTGGGCCAGAGGGGGCAAGGGCTGTTGAGGGAGGGGGAAAGTGGATGCATTTCTGGGGTAGAGGGCCTGGAAGAGAGAAGGAGGCCATGTTTATTTACTTTATAGTCTACCTTTCTCACTGAGGTCCAAGGCAGATTACAGGCTCACAAAGATGGTAAACTGTAGCCCAACAAAGCTTTTACCCGCCTCAGCTGTAAAACGTTTCCAAGAGCCACTGTGGTACCCCAGGACAAAAGTCTCTCGAGGTCTCCCATCAAACCACCCTGACCCAATACAAACTCACTGTATAAAATCAAGTCACATGACTAGCTGTTAGCATGAACAGGCTAGCAATTGGCTGTGTCCATGTGACCACATATTTACATGATACCCTTCTTCCAAGAAGTTCAGTGCACTTGGTCCCACGTTTTGTCTTCACAACCACCTGTAAGATACGCTGGACTGAGAAACAACCCCGCCCCCCGTACCAAACTGAAGGGTTGTGGTTTTTTGCTGAATTTAGAGGAATACACCAGTGGCACCTTGTCTTGTTCCCACACCTCCTTCAGTGGCTCAAACATTTTCCTGCTCTCTCATGGGGTTCCCACCCCTCTATCCAAGTCCATGTGTACCCAAGTCCATGTGTACTTTAACAATACCCTAGGAAGATGTCCTCCCCCGAACCATAAGAAGATCCTCGCTGGGTCAGACCAGGTATCCATCCAGTAAAGGATCCTGTCTCACAGTGGCCATGTGTTCTTTGCAATACTGAACTGGTAAATAAACAATTTTTTTTAATAGATGGGAAAGGGATTTGGGTCAGACTATCTCTAGTGAAACTTGGAGATGCACATTGATATCTGGCTCTAAATTCACAGTATCGTCTCTGTGTAAGGAGAACTTATTGAAAATGTTACATCAGTGGTATCTTACATCACATAAACTAACTAAAATTTATGGTAATTGACCGGATAAGTAAATCACCAAGACAGACTTTCATCATATGTGATGGACTTGTCCATAAGCAAAAAACTACTGCCAAGGTTGCTCAGATGTAATGGAAGTCAGTTTTGGATTAAATTTATCTCTGTTAATTGCAGCCTTGTTGCTTAATTATGTACCACAGGTTCCTAACCCCCTGCACTCTACTGTATTACACCTCATTGCGGCAGCCAGAACTGTATTTGCGAGACACAGGAAGTGACAAACGGACAGCCCCAACAGTTCATGAATGGGCACAAAAATGTTTGCAGATTTATCCACTATATATGTATCCACGCACACACTTACAGTAAAACAAAATGACAACTGCTTAAACATGGTAGAAAATGCAAGTCAAGTCACAGATGATTTATGACAACCTGTAGGGTTTTCAAGGCAAGAGACATTCAAAAGTGGTTTGCCATTGCCTGCCCTCTGCATAGCAAGCCTGGACTTCCTTTGGTGGTCTCCCATCTAAGTACTAACAAGATGCACGGCAGACTGAGTTGACTTGGAACCCTGTGATGCAATAACTATGTCTTTTGTTAACTAAGGTGTCTTTTCCCTTCATGTTGCTATTGTGGTGGTGTTTTTTCCCCTTTGAATTAAAAAGAATCAAAAGTCTGTGTCTAGTTTAGTGTAGTGGTTAAGAGCAGCAGCAGTGTGTGACAGTTGAAGGAAATGGCATTCAAAAGCTCTGCAGAGGGGTCAAGAGGAGGCCCCTGAGCCACCAGCTGCCTATTTCAGCTTTACAGTCTGTACATTTCATCCCCCCCTCCTGCAGACTCCCGGATTCCTTATAGGGTGTCTGCTGTGGGGACAGAAAAGGAAAGGAGCCTCTAAGCTGCTCAGAGACTCCAAGAGAAGGGAGGAGTATAAATCCAAATCTTCTTCTTCTGTGACTAAAACCATGGGCACAGGGCTTGAGGCACTTAGAACTGGTGAGGAATCACCCAAAAGCTCTCTATGAAGGTAGATCCAGGTGGGGTAGCCGTGTTGGTCTGAAGCAGCAGAACAAAGTCTGAGTCCGGGGGCACCTTTAAGACCAACAAAGTTTTATTCTGGGTATAAGCTTTTGTGCACAGGCACACTGAAGATACATTGAAACAGACTTTCTCAAGCCTTACATATGGGGGGGGTGTGTTAGTTGCCAGGAAGGGCTACTGTCAAGATGTATCTGAAGAAGTGTCCATGCAAATGAAAGCTTACACAGAGAATTAAACTTTGTTGGTCTTAAAAGTTCCACTGGACTCAAAATTTGTTCCAAAAGCTCTTTGCTGTTGTTGTTTTCAGTTCAATTCAAGGCCTTCTGAATATTATCTTGAAGACTCAACAAATTTATTTTCAGTGTTTACATGCCATGTCTCTAGAAAACGTTAACACTGTATTAAAACAACATAAAACAACCTTCAGCATCTTAAAACAGTAGTCATATAACAGTCCTGCGAGCTAGACGCAGACCATAAAAGCAGATTTAAAAGAGACAACAAAAAAAGTTATGGAGCCCTTCAGGTAAAAAAGCCAGGGTCAAAACAGAAATGTTTTATTAAGACTCCAAAGCCTCCGCTCTCTACACAAAGGCTTTCATGTTAGCAGTTCGGTTGCACGTCTGAAGCCTCCTAAAGAGGTTCAAATACATCAGCCGCGAACTTGTTTCATGTTAACAACTGCTCCTTCCGGGCAAAAGTAGCGGCCTTTCCTGCACGGCGTCGGCTGCCGTATGGAAGCGAGAATTATTTTTTTCGGCTCTGCCTGCAGGCTGCAATCTGCAGATGGTTACATGCAACTCCCTAGTCTGGTCACCCAGACTACTATTTTGGCTCTCGTGGATAGGGGCCCGAATCTCACTGACTTTGATCAGCCTCATTTTTCTCCTTTCTGTTTACTCCTAAGGAAGCCTGGAGCCCGATCTACTCAGAAACATGCCTCACACACTAAAGAGGGCGCTTTTACTATTCCCAAATCAACGAAGTTTGAGAGTCCAGTGGCATCTTTAAAGCCAACAAAGTTTAATCCCGGGTAGAAGCTTTTCGTGTGCACGCACACTTCTTCACACGGAATCTTGTACCCGGAATTAAACTCTGCTGATCTTAAAGGTGCCACTGGACTCAAACGTCGTTCTGTTGCTTCAGATCCCACACGTCCACCCCCCACCTGAATCTACTCCCAAATTAATGAGCCTGGTGGAATTCCACGTTGCCGACAGAAACCCGGCCGCATCATCGCGCGCCCCAAGCGCCCCCCTCCCCGTCTCTCTGCACACCCCACGTTTAGCACGTCCGCACATTGCAACGGATCGTGCAAAACAAACACTCGCCGCCGTCACCACACCCACCCAACTCCCCCGCCCCCCGCCGGCCTCGCAAGCGCCAGGCTCTGCAAAGAGAACTGTCGACTCACCGTCGCCGGCAAAGCGGGGGGCTTTCTGCAGCGCCACGGCTGCCAGACCAGCCACCACCTTCCCATAGCCAGAGTCCCATGCACCCGTCCGACTAGAGAGGGGCTACAAAGGGTGGGAAGGAGGGCTCTTATTGACCCGGCTGCAAATACTTGTCACTTCCTGGGAACCAGAGGAAGCTGAAAGGGGGGCTGAGTGCTTTCCCCCCCTCCCACTTTCCTCCTGTGAGAAGCGCCGCTGGCGGTCCTTCAAAAATATACTTCCTCCCGGTCTGGAATGAACGGCGCGGGCTTTTTTGTTTTGTTGTTGGGGTTTTGCGCTAGAGAACAAACTGTGCTACAGCAGGTCTTTAATTGCATCTGCAAATTGTTCCCTTTTTTTTGGTAACACCGTTGGGCCTGTTGCAAGCCTATAGCAGGACGCACTTCCTAGCGCCAGGGTTGCCAAGCCTGGGTTAGGGAATTCCCGGAGATTTAGGGGTGAAGCCTGAGAACTCAGTGAGGGGGATGGGTTTTGGGGAAGGAAGGGAGGCCCTTCTGTTGGGTGTAACGGCACGGAATCCAAACCCCCCCCCCCCACAAAGAAGCCATTTTCTCCAAGGGGACTGATCCCTGTGGTAGTCTGGAGATCTCCAGGTCCCACCCGGACGCTGGCAACCCTTCTGGGTTACCGAGCTGTTTTGTTGCTTTTTTTCACAGAAGGACTTCTGCATGACTGCAGCAATTGGAAGAGGTCCATTTTTGGGTGGTGGGGTGGAGACAGTGGGTTTGCAAAGGGGAACTTCCCCAGTTGAAATGCACAGTTCACAACTGAGAAAGGTACAGGTGATGGAAAAGGAAATAGCAGATTTAGTGCTCCGATGGCTGTTGACCTGTGTCACAAAGCTGATATCTGTCAAAACCACTAGGATGGTTTTCTGTGCCTCAGCCTGGAGGGCTGTTTTGGGGAGTCTCCACAGGACATCGTCCTTCAATCACCCACTTTCCTTAGCCTTGGCCAGCTCTTGCCCTACCTGATTTACTACTGTGTTTTCAGAAGGAATGTAGTCTAAGCCCATTAGCACACTGCCTGGGCAGGAAGGCAGGTATTTTCAAAAAGAGCCCCCCCCCCACGCACCATTTCCTTTCTGTTGGCCCCTCACCACAGCCATTTTGTCTACTATACCACCAGACCTAAATAGCCCAGGCTAGCCTGATCTGGTCAGATCTCGGAAGCTCAGCAGGGTTAGCCCTGGCTAGTATTTGGATGGGAGACCAGCAAGGAAGCCCAGGGTTGTGGTGTAGAGCCAGGCGATGAAAAACCACTTCTGAATGTCTCTTGCCTCGAAAACCCCACAGGGTCGCCATAAAGCCTTGACAGCACTTTCCACCACCATGCCACCAGAAGGCTTTTGGAGGGCTTAAAAGAAACAAAATTCCCAGGCCAGTAACATCTTAAAGACCAGCAAAACTTTCCAGGGTATAAGCTTTCATGAGTCAAACTTGCTGTCAGATACCTTTGACTCAAGAAAGTTTATATCCTGGACATTTTTGTTAAGTCTTTAACATGCTACTGGGCTCAATTTCTGTTCCTCTGCTACTACTAAATAATGTAGTTACATATCTTTTTTTAAAACAACAACCAGTAATTGCTATAATACTATAGCAAAAAAAAGTATTCCCGTGGCACAGTGAAGGAAAGTATATGGAAAATGGCGGCTGATGGAGGAAAGTGTGCAGAAAACTCCCACATGGACACTCCCTTGCTAATTTCAGAGGGTAGCCATAATGGCCTGTGGTAGAACATCTAAGTTCGAGTAGCACCTTAGAGACTGTGACAGGCAGGTCAGGTTCTGCCTTTCCCTGAGAGCAGCCCCTGGGAGTTGGTAGTTAAGGGAATTGAGAGAGACAAGAGTTTGATTCAGTGAAACTGTGGAGAACAGCTGGCTGAAAATAGTCAGTTTGTAACAGAGGATCCCAATTGCTAGAATAAGGAAACAGTTCAAAAATTCAATTGGAAATGAAACCTTGTAATAGCTACCTTTCTTCAGTGTTGTGTTCAAACCATTAAACACAAGTTAACTCCTTGTTTGTTTAAATCTGTGGGCTTGGTGTCTCAGGGAAAGAAACACGTGCATGCAAGATAATACTTCCATCTGTACATATTATAGGATATCATATGAATAAATGCTGGCAGTGTGTGAATGGAACGCTGTATGAGCCCCCAACCCCAATAACTCAGCAAAGTGAGTGACTTGGTTATTAAAGGGGGCTGGTCTGTCCTGTCTTCTGATGTCTCTATGAGGGAGAGAAGAAAATTGCGAAATGGTCATTGCTTTCTATATAAAGTAAAAGAGACAAGAAATGTGTGGGGAGTGTGACATCCTAACCTACTTGTAACCCAGAACCTGAGAGGTTGGAGAAGGCAGGAGGCACTCTTGAGTGGAAAGAGGTGTCACAGAGACCAACAATACTTTCTGTACATAAGCTTTTGACAGTCCAAGCTCTCAAGAGCCAGTTTGGTGTAGTGGTTAAGTGCCCGGACTCTAATTTGGGAGAACAGGGTTTGATTCCCCACTCCTCCACTTGCACCTGGCTGGATGACCCTGAGCAAGCCATGGTTCTGATAAGAGGTGTTCTTGAAAAAGAGCAGTTTCTGTCAGAGCTCTCTCAGCCCCACCCACCTCACAGGGTGTCTGTTGTGGCCTGTGGGGAGGGGAAGGGAAAGGAGTTTGTAAGCTGCTCTGAGACACCTTTGGGTAGTGAAGGGCGGGGTATAAATCCAATCTCTTCTTCTTCATGATCTAGCTATCTGAGGAAAGGAGCTTTGACTCTTGAAAGAATATACCCCCCCCCAAAAAAAAATTTTTGTTGGTCTCTAAGGTGCTACTGGACTGGAACCTAGCTGTTCCTTTGCATTGTTCTCTGCATTGAGAATGACAATGAAAAAGAAATGAAGAATCCTCACGGTGAGGGAGGAAGCAGCCTCTGAGGCAGCACTGGAACCTGGTTCTCAACTCTGTGTTCACACTGGTTGTTCTATACTCCAGCGCAGTCATATCAAATGTTGTGTGGGGGGGAGAATGAGTGACAGTGGAAGTGTTACTATATGCATGCTGCATGAGAGGAAAGGAGCTTTGACTCTTGAAAGAATATACCCCCCCCCAAAAAAAAATTTTTGTTGGTCTCTAAGGTGCTACTGGACTGGAACCTAGCTGTTCCTTTGCATTGTTCTCTGCATTGAGAATGACAATGAAAAAGAAATGAAGAATCCTCACGGTGAGGGAGGAAGCAGCCTCTGAGGCAGCACTGGAACCTGGTCTCAACTCTGTGTTCACACTGGCTGTTCTATACTCCAGCGCAGTCATATGAAATGTTATGTGTGGGGGGGAGAATGAGTGACAGCGGAAGTGTTACTATATGCATGCTGCATGACACTGAGGTCACTTCTCAGGCTTAAAGCAGGTAGCAGACCCATTTGCTCAGACCACTAGTCTGCTGCTGTGGATGAAGCCAGTCATGGTGCATTCTTAGATTTAGTAATGCCTGCATGTGACCAAGCCCCCCCCCCTTTGTTCAGTAGTATAGCTGCACCGGTGTGCCAAAGGAGGCGAGTTTTATATAGAGTAGGAAGTAGGAAGGGACCATCAGGGTCATCTGGTCCAACCCCCTGCCAATGCAGGAACTACAACCATAATATCCCCAACAAGTATGTATCCAATCAATACTCAAAATTGTCCAATTACAAAGAGTCCACTACCTCGTGAGGGAGCTTGTTCCAGAGCCAAACACCTCACCATCAAGAAATTCTTCCTCAGATTTAGATGAAAACTCTTGGTGGAGTTTTATATCCATTAGTCCGAGGCCTATCATCCAACATGATCGAAATCATATCTGCCTCATGTTCCACATGGCGCTCCTTTAGGTAGCAGAAGGTGTCAAGCATATCACCTCGCAAGCATCTCTTTTCCGACGTAGAGATTCCCAGGTCCTTCAGTCTCTCCTCATAGGACATGGTGTCCACACCCTTCACCAACTTAATTCTGTGTATGTTGCTAGTTGCTCTGGAAAATGGGATATTTCTTTTTTTATGCTAAAAACACCCTGTGGATGAAAAAATACTGAACTAATGCTGTAGAGACAGTGTGCGTAGTGTTTAGAGCAGGGGTGTCGAACTCATTTGTTATGAGGGCCAGATCCGACATAAATGAGACCTTGTTGGGCCGGGCCATGTGTGTCATAAAATGTAATGCCACGTAGAGGAGATATAAACTTTATAAAGGACACAAACACAAAGGGTTTTTTTTAACTTAAACTAAAAACATGCTTAAAACATTAGCTCTCTTGCAATATTTTGTTTATATTTAACAGTGTCTGATAACTGACACCTCTTGCTCTGAATTATTGCATCAAAATGTCTGTGCTATTGCAATCTTGAGTATGCTGTTCAGGTGTGTATCTGTAAGCTGCAAACCTATGATGACACAGCAGCAGCAGAACTGGAAGAAGAAGCAGAAAACAGACAGTTCCACTGCGGGCCTGATAGAAGCCCTTCCACAGCCTGCAGTTCAGCGTCTTAACCACTTGAGCCACCGCAGCTCAATAAAATGTATAAGGTATGTATAAAAAGCAAATATTCTCTATTAACTGTAAACTTGTTGTAGAAAGGTTTTAAGTTTAAGGCAACCAGACTGTTTATACACAAGCAGGTGTACAAATGACCCAGCTGACATAATAGAGAAACTAAGTTGAAAGAACTAAGGGGGAGATGTTCTAAGAGGTTTGGGGAAAACAAAGTAATTAATTATATACCCCTCATTATTCTGTGCTTTTAAGTTTTAAGGAGTATTGGGCAGATGATGTCACAGAGACAAATAATGTACAATCTGCCAATTAGAAAAGCACAGGTGGGTTTTAAATCATGACTCTGGGCACCAATTTAATAGGGTCAATTGAGTGGTACAGAATTTGTATTGAAGAACAGTGTCTCCTACAGGCTGAACTGAGCTATGTGTTTTACAAATTACAAACTTTGATATTAACACAGGCAGCTTCATAAATGACCAAAAATATTCTATAAAATAATCTGACAAACCAAAATGAATAACAATGTGTAAATCAATGTATCTACAAGAGCTGCATGCCACGAGGTATTTTGAAATACTAAAAGAATTCATGTAAAGAGTTTA